TCTTTCCGCTGCACTCTTGTCAATTGTGTGGCTAGTCAGGGCGATGTGTTCAGCTATTTTCGTTCTTTCCCTATCCATTTTTTGGCTTATTTACTGATGCTCTTTGATCCTTCTTCCAATTGCCTTTCCAGCATCCTAGAAAATAGAAGATCACTGAGGCTGTGAGCATACTGTTTCAAAGAAACCTGATGAACCATAGATTGGGCTAACATCATAAGTACATTTTATGATTCATTTGTTAACCAAATTTTATTCTCTCTTAGTTCAGGATTATTTCATAAATTATTTATTTTATTCAAAACAAAATGAAATTAAGTACCAATGGATTAAGGTATGACTCATTTTTCTCGAAGAGTATAGTTAAAATTGTATTGATCATTCTAATATGGAATAAGCCTATCTTGTGGAAAGACGTATTAAGAAATTTTGTAAAACGGATAAGCCTGGGCTAGTAGGTAATGCTTTTTTGTAGATCTTGTTAATAAATTTTACTTATTTTTAACTTATTCTTTCAATGGATATAGTTAAATGTCCGTCAATAACATTATTCGTATGTTATGTCTATTTCTTAGGTACTCTTTGGCCCCATTTGAATGCTGATATCCATAACGCTAACTAAATTTAAGTTTAGATAGAATATTCTGCAATTTAGATATACCTTGTAACAGTAAATGCGCGAGCATATGGCCTACTCATATCGAAAGATGTAACTTCGTAGCTTTTAATAACTCATCTGTCTACAATCGAACAATAAAAAATGTGATCAGAGGAAGGCCTGGGTTTTAACCCACTGGCACTCGTGGTTGTGTAGTGGAGTGGTAGCGGATGGTGTTAATGAAACCCAGGCGATGTCTAAAATCTAGTCCACTGGACAAGAAAACATTTCGGGAGGCAGGCCTAAGTGAAATTCACTGAGATCGTGAGGCCTACTCATCTCACTGTAGTAAAATTCTACTATCAATCCTTAGATCGCCTAGGCTGACTACGATTTTTGCCTAGCATTACCGGACATGAGCATCAGTTTTTTCGTGGACTTAATTCATCTGACAGGCCTTAGATGCGTCTATTGGCATTCCATGCATTTTTATATGATATTGTAACTTATCTATCAGCGTGAAGCTAAGGGCTGTCTCGTCAAGCCTTATCAGGCCTGCGTAAAGCGTGCTACTCTGAACAAAATGCCAATGGAAAAATGATGGGATTACCATAGTCCCATAGATAGATAAGTTACAATATCATATAAAAATGCACGGAATGCCAATAGTCGCATCTAAGGCCTGTTAGATGAATTAAGTCCATGAAAAAACTGATGCCCATGTCCGGTAATGCTAGGCAAAAATCGTAGTCAGCCTAGGCGATCTAAGGATTCATAGTAGAATTTTACTGCAATGAGATGAGTAGGCCTCACGATCCCAGTGAATTTCACTTAACATTGCCTCCCGAAATGTTTTCTTGTCCAGTGGACTAGATTTTAGACATCGCCTGGGTTTCATTAGCATCACCCGCGTAAAGCGTGCTACTCGGAACAAAATGCCAATGGACAAATGATGGGACTACCGTAGTCTAGTAGCTGTTGTAAGATTGTCTCATGTCACGATTTATGGTACTATTACATGGCGATTTTATCTCCATAATATTGCATCTTCTTGTTTTAATTGGCGTTTATTGTCAACGGTAATTGATCTCAATATAGTTGAGTATGGCTTGTCAAAAAATTGTGCTCTCTCCAACTTATTGCCGGTAGAAAGTTAAGCGACCTGCTGGTAGTTTCCTCTTTCTTTCATTTTTCTCATCAAGTATGCGCATTTACGTGAATATGCCTTATGCCTCCTTTCAGAATGTACAAGCGTTTTGATGTAAACTTGTGTAATTAACATTATGATCATTATAAAAAGTAGCGAATAATTGTATCAGACAGTGTGTATCAACCATCTTTATAGTATATGCGAAGTAACGTTGAGTTTGGAGGAATATCCTGATTTATAATTGCTGAGCTCACATTTCAATCCCACTAGAAGACGACGACGGATTCCTCTTGACGAGCTGTCGATTGGTTTTACTGACTCATCCGCCGTCGTCTACTGGTGGGATCGACCTTCTAGTCTCTTCACCAAAAACTTTCATTTGTAATGGAAATTAGTTCGACAATTATCTTTATAGTATTAGCAAATATGCAATTTATCTATACCTTAGTCTGGATTTAAAAATTGGGACATTTTTTCCTAGTAAGCTTAATAATATTCTACATTTTTTATTATCAGCTTAATTATCTGATATTATTTGTGGTTCTATCCTATCCAATTAAACTTTTTAGATGAGCATATTTTGGTTACTAGGAAATAGCCATCCTATCAACTCGGGGAAATGTTGCTGACTCACCATTGTTACTTTAAGAGCTATTAAACTAGCAAGACGTCATTACATCATTTGATGCTATACTTTATGCTACTGATAATTGCAAGGAAGTAGATATACTATGATGTATTGGAATTGCACAAACTCGTTTGCTTGATAGTCCATACAGATGCATTGCCTTCGTAAGCATTACTATAATCTGGATTTATTATAGACATTTAGAGGGCGAATGTTTTTGTTTGTTTCTTTGTTTCAACGAGATTTTTCGGTTGATAAAATAATACTAGAAGGCTAGAACGACATCCGTTTCTGTTAAGGAATCTACAGTGAAATCCCAATTACTGAGCTTTTCCTCACCGTCAAACTGGTTCAGGGTGAATAAAATAGATTAATGTTAAGATAGGAAGGGGATATTTTGCCGTTTCCTGTGTTTTCTCTCAGTTTTGTCCACTAAAGAGCAGTCTTCTTTAGAATGTGGCTCCAGTTTTTTTATGTTTTTGTATATTTGTGTTCTATAAGTCAGCCCTATTCCGTCTCTTTCCTCTTCAAAATGGTCAATTATCTGTCTACACTACTTTCCTATTAGCTGCCCATTCTGCCTTCCGTCTCTCTCTTTCTCTGATTTGTAAATGCGAATATTTTTATTGTTTTAAATACTCTTAGTTATTACCTCCGTAACTACTGTCTTTTTGTCACTCAATCATAAATTTTACATTACTTTAGATATTTAGTAAATTTCTTCAATAGCTAATAATATGGCTGAATTATTAATTAATATAAAAACATACGTTTATTTATTTATTTATTAAATTTCTTCAAAAACACTTTATATATATAAGTAATATCATTCACAGCCCTCAGTGGTTATTCCTCCCCCAAAACGTCCTTTAACTGCATAACAGCATCAAAAAGTTTCTCAACCAACAACCACGCCTCCTTCGAAATCCACTACAATGCTACCTACTTATGGTACGTATTGTAATTATCACACATTAGTGTATATGTATATATCAGTAACAAAGTGTTTTTAAGAAGCTTGATAAATAGATAACTAAACTTATGTATATATATTAATCAATAATTCACCTATATTATTAATTATTTAAGACATTTAAAAAATGCCTAAATTAATTGAGAGTTTATGATTGCGAATGACAAAAAAGGCATTAGTTCCCGAGTTTTAACTAAGACTCCACTTACAAAATAGAGTAAGAGAGAAACTGGGAACAGTTTCGAAAACCTTCTTATAAACTAGGCTATTCAACTAATTTGTATAAACGCTTCTCTTGGCTAAACTAGCAAACTTTTAAAGATATCGACGTTTTTGGGATTTTTTACCCTTCTAGAACATGGAAAGGGCATGCGGCAAGACTAAAGACCACTTCATCCTTGCCTTCGCTTTTTTTCTTTTAGCTGTATACTGAAGCTTATTGGTCTTTCTTCCTCCGGAACTTGTGAACGCTTTGATATAATGCTCTTACCTTCGTCCAGATAAAATATATGCTATACTTATTTCCGCTCTATTCACTTTAAATTACCATTTGCATTTTCCATACATAATTCAGGAACCAGGCATCTACTTTTCATATTGATGTTGATCGGTATTACGATTCGAATACTCTTCCTTTTTCAATACGTCATTTTTACGCTTGACTGAAATGAATTAAGGAGCAGTTAAGAATAAAGTGTGCTAACAAAGCTCTTTTCATTCTTGCTAATAACTAATTATTTGTCGGATTTTAGTCTGACTTCCCCTCTTATAAACAGAGGTGCTTAGTTCCGATCACTTACCATATTTTTCATTGAGGAACTGTTGTTATTTTCGTGTAGAACGATATATAGGTCGATCTCACTAGGGAAAATTCGAATACATTTTTTTGCTTGTTGTGATTTGATCAAGTTGATCAAGTCCTCGAGGCAACATCACTGAGTTTTGATTTAAAAAATCCGTCTTAAGTACTGACGATGCTTCCCCTATTGGAGGCAACAAGGCCGCCACTTGTTCGTGGTTTTAGAGAACCTTTGAAGACTATATAGCTTTCTGTGTCATCTGCCACAGTTGTCATGATTTTTTACATTATTTTATCATTGATTTAGACGCTTCCAGATTCATGAAAAAAACATGGAAACTATGGCAGTTCATGCAGTACAGGGCACGTTTTCCGTGGCTTTCATATAAAAGTTGAGTAAACCGGGTCAGACCAATTGTATACATCTAAAGGAGACTACGATCAAAATAAAGGCCACACTATCTTGGACTTCATACTGTATCTTTATTCGATACAGGGCCATGAGTATCGCGGCCACGTTACCACTCCACTATACGATCACGGGTGGCAGTTATAATATATAAAGGCCTAACTTGCTTTGAATATCGTATCTGCCAACTGACACCCGTAGCGGTGTGGTGAATTGATGACGTCGCCATGATACTCACGACCCGGTATCAAATCCAGCTGTGAATGCTGATGAGGCCTAAGGCAAGTTGAAACTGCGGTCCATGCTAGCTGAAATAAGTTTGTGTGAGACAATGATGATTGAAACTCAATGTTATCATGAGGCCTACTCATTTCATCGTGGTAAAGCTCAACTATCAGTTCTTAGATCACCTTAAGCAATCTAGGACTTAATTCTAAAACTAGAAATGTATCAAACCTCCTTTTTTTTCTGCATCGTTCTATATGCATTCTGATTAACTTGTTGCGTGCTGTCAATTGCCTATTTTTCGAACCCCACGTCTTAATATCCTATCCTCATTTATGTTATGACTCGCTTTTTCATTTAATCATACTAGCCTGGCTGGACGAATCAGCCTGATCCAAGGCGTCAACAACCTTCCTCACAGCAGCATGTTCCTACAGGTCAAGATGGCAATGCCTATTGGTATCCTCCAGGTCATGCAGGTCCCTTGACCAACACTGACTGGGAGGGCCAAACGCCTCCCAATTTTGATGAGGAATCGGGCACCGCTTCACAGGAGGGAAGCGGAATGGCAGTTGACCAGGATATGGTTCATAGGCCTTCCTCTTTGCAGCGAAATCGACAGGGCATCTCTCGTCCGGAGAAAGTAAAGACATCTACAACAACTGCCAGTCCGACGACCATCATGACCACAACTACGACGACCACTCCTATGACTACGACGGCCACTCCTACGACTACGACCACTACTTCCACGACTACGACCACTACTCCCATGACTACGACCACTCCCGTGACTACTACAACTACGACTAAGCCGACTACAACTTCTCCCACTACAACGACTATGATGACCACTACAACTACCTTACCTCCCATGACAACAATGACCACGACTGTTGCCACAACCACTGTACCTACCACGACAACGACGACTACCACTAACACTCCGATAGCTACAACAACTACCTCTATCAGTACCACTACCGAACCTAAGACTCATTTCACCTCTCCAAGACCGTTTTCGACCACTGCTGACACACCAGTCCCTGTCACACCAGTATATCGTGGAAGAATTAATGCTACTCGGTCACAGGCTGCATCGAAGCAATATCCTTCACAGCCCTCAGTTGTTATTCCTCCCCAAAAACGCCCTTTAACCACATACCAGCATCAAAAGGTTTCTCCACCGACAACCACGCCTCCTTTGAAATCCACTACAACTCCACATACCTATGGTACGTATTGGAATTATCACACATCAATAAAAAAATCTTCAGCAACAAAATCGCCATAGAAATTCCAAAGGT